TGCCAAGGGTACAAGGGACGCCTAGGTATGCCTCTGTATGGAACCACCTGCTTATTGATTTTCCTTCCTTCTGCCCTTCTACTCCCAGTGGGCATGAGCTACAACTGGATCCGAAATACAAAGGGACTGAATTTAAATATATTTAAATACAGTGGTACCTCGGGTTAAGTACTTAATTCGTTCCGGAGTTCCTTTCTTAACCTGAAACTGTTCTTAACCTGAAGCACCACTTTAGCTAATGGGGTCTCCCGCTGCCGCCGCACAGCCGGAGCACGATTTCTGTTCTCATCCCGAAGCAAAGTTCTTAACCCGAGGTAATATTTCTGGGTTAGCGGAGTCTGTAACCTGAAGCGCATGTAACCTGAAGCATATGTAACCCGAGGTACCACTGTATAGTAATGTTACTATATTTATACCGCATTTTCAGTCGCTCTCAAATGATCTTGTACTGTATAGTGAAGATGTACACACTGATACTATTAGAACAAGGATACATAGGGGCATGTCTGGAAATCTTCTGGTTCCTAAGCGTTGATGATACAGTTCAAGTTCCAGGCTGCAAGGACAAGTGGAACTACTGATTGTAAAGACACCTGCCAACAGAAGCAGCCCCTCCATTTGAATTTATAACCACATAAGAGAAGATTACTTGCTTGTTGTTTTTGAGGTTATTCTTTGAAGGATATTTTAGACACTGAATTTCTGGTTTCATTGATTACAATGGAATATTTATTTTATTTGCTTTTACGACTTACATCCTGCCCTTTGTCGTAGGACTCCAGAATAATACAATGCACAAAAATAATAATTAAAACACAATAACTATTAAATTAGATAAAATACCAGCAGCATTTTTTACATTAAAAAAAAAATATTGGGGGCAACTCAACAACATTTGCTTAATTTTCTAGTAGTTTGTTGCGACAGAACTGGCCTATTGGTAGTAGTCTTACTAATATTGAAAGTGTGTCCCATATGCATTGATGCCTAATTTACTTTGCACCTGACTTTATGGGAGCAGATTTTTCTTCCTACCTGGCTTCAAAAATTTTGCAAATAAAATTGCACCCTGCTAATAACTGTGTGTATCAGCCTCCCCCTCCCAGGAACAGAGTAGCGTTTTCCTGCATGGTGACCTAAGCTTTGGCTTTCCCTGATGTTTACACCTAGCTCCAATTTACCCACTGTGCACCCCCTCCCCAAATTTGCAAGGGGTTGGACTACATGACATGATCACATGCCAGAAAAGTTTCAGGGTGTCCCCCCCCAGGCAGCTGCCATGTTTATCCAAATAAATATTTGCTTATGTGTCACTTTTCTTTTTTAAAAAAACATGAAATATTTTCTTTTGAGGGTGGCAGCAGCAGTGGAAATGACTTTACAAAGAGCCAGTCAATCTATATTCTGCATAGCCAACTTCTGCTGAAAAAAGAAAAAGGTGATCCTGACTCCATTCTGAAGCTTATACTGTAGATCTGTCCAAAGAGGGGCAAGTGCAGTTCCACAATGGGTTTATAAATCAATATATATTGTAGTCTTACTATTTTGTGTTTAAACCCCTTTATTTACATTTTAATCACTTTTTATGACAGTTCTGCCCCAGTGAGATTTGATAGGCAGGTACTGTAATGAGCCCTTTTCAAGTAGTGGTTCAACAATTGTTGAATACCTTTCCCATGGAGATCTGTTGGGCCCCTTCTCTTAGTGTTGGATGGAAGGTTTTGTTTTGCATAAGCAAGACTTCAGTTTTGTGAGATTTTTTGCCATTATACTGCAATTGGCTTTTAATCAGCTGTTATGGATTTGTTTTTGTCCATTTCCAGTGCCTTTGGTTTTATTTTTGTGTATAGTTTACGTTTCTGGTGTGTTAATTTTTTTTAGATGTTTTGACCTGGGGACAGGAAAAGCATGATAAATGCATAAATCTAAACTAACAGTCATGCAAGATAAACCTAGATTATCCGTTGGTGCTGGTGCAAGCAGAAATCTGATGGTTTGTTTAAGGTCAACCAGTCCGTTTTGTGGGTGAAGTGAGAATGGAACTGAGGACTTCTGACTTACACTTCTATACAGTGGTACCTCGGGTTACAAACACCTTGGGTTACAAACACTTCGGGTTACAGACTCTGCTAACCTGGAAGTAGTACCTCAGGTTAAGAACTTTACCTCAGGATGAGAACAGAAATTGCACGGCAGCAGCGGGAGGCCCTATTATCTAAAGTGGTACCTCAGGTTAAGAACAGTTTCAGGTTAAGAACGGACCTCCGGAATGAATTAAGTTCATAACCAGAGGTACCACTGTACTATATTACTTCAGCTCTCAACAAGCCATCCAAGATTGTGTGTCAATTCAACTTGACTTCAAGGATATATTTATTATCGTTTTTGAACAAATTATACAAACATGAAAAGTTGTGGAAATGATTGTGTGCTAGATAAAGTGATTCATTATAGGAGCAGTCGGGTTTATGGCATTTTATACCAGGGTTTTTCTCAAAAATTATAGCACAGTCTTCCTGTCACTATAAAAACTAGTGATAGTCTATAATATCACGCAGTAGTGGTATTTTTAGGATTTCATTTGTTATTCAAATGGAGTGGGAGCTCTCAGTTTCTCTCCATCATATTTCTTTCCTTTGTTGACTTCAGGTATTTAAAAGACAGAGAGACAAGCACCCTGTACTAAAAGTGATCTAGAAATATTATGAGGATGTTATTCCCAACCCATCTTCTTGTCAGGGGTCAGCAAGAGCAAATTATTGTTAGCAGCCTTATACTGTTTTAAAAACAGCTATAGGGTCAATTACTCCAGGATTGCTTAGACACTGTGGACTTGTGGACCTTTGAACTAAGAGCATGCAAGGCAGTAAAACTGCACCTGGACTGCTGTATTTCAGATTGTGGAAAGGGGAATCACACAGCAGAATGCTTTCCTTGTTCGTTTACCTGCAGAAACAAAATAATGCAATGAGTAGTTCAGTTGAAATTCTTTTGCCTCCCATCATTTATTGACATCTACATTTTTATTGTAGGGATTTCTGAATTATGGATAATTTATTTCTGTTTCCCAGCAGAATGAAGTGGTATAGCCCAAGTACTACCTTATCCAGCTGGTTTGCATGAACTAGGCCTTATGCAGATATCCAGGTGTGGGCAAGCATCCCATTAGAAATATCATGAGCTAGATATATTTAATTTTTGCTCAGGGAGTTTCATGTATTGAGTTAAACTTGATTATATCTTGAAATGAACACTTGTATGTTGCTGCAGACATATGGTAAGGTAGTACCTGAGGCACCCTGTTAACTGCACAACAAAGACCCTGCGGCACCTTCAAGACTGACTAGTCTTTTGTCAGTTGAAATTCCATAGGACCAATAGCCTGCTTTACCAAAAGTGACTTGAGAAGGTGGTAGATACCGGTACATGTTTATGGGGCAGAGATGAACAAGGAGAGAACTAAGGGTAGCAAATGCAAATAATGTGGCCTCATAGGAGTGGTACAATTCACGGATGCTGGTCATGTTGCATTTATTCTGAAGAGATCAGTATCCTAAATGTGAAAGCTGTAACATGGACCAAGGGAGCGACAGGAGGCAGTAAACAGTGAAATCAAAGGAAAGTCTCTGGATTTCTGTAACTTAATAACAAACAAACCCTGCTAGCTATTTTGTTGCTTTTGATTCTCCCTCCCCCTTTGAAGGCTAGTGTGGTAGAAAGAAGAAGAAGAAGAGGAGTTTGGATTTGATATCCCGCCTTTCACTCCCCTTCAGGAGTCTCAAAGCGGCTAACATTCTCCTTTCCCTTGCTCCCCCACAACAAACACTCTGTGAGGTGAGTGGGGCTGAGAGACTTCAAAGAAGTGTGACTGGCCCAAGGTCACCCAGCAGCTGCAGGTGGAGGAGCAGAGACGCGAACCCGGTTCCCCAGATTAGGAGACTACCGCTCTTAACCACTACACCACACTGGCTCTCAGTTTTGTTGCTTTTGATTCTCCCTCCCCCTTTGAAGGCTAGTGTGGTAGAAAGGTAGTCTAGAAATAGGTATTGTGTCTTAAACCTCCCTCTGCTTCCACAGGGCCTAGTGTCATACCAGCACTAGTAGGTGAAATTCCTTCCTGGGACGGATACAAGGCTTCTGACTGCATATTGCTGTATTTTGATGCAGTACTGATTTTTCAGTCTGGGCTTGTGGAACTAGTTTCTGTAATGCTTGTGCTGAGAAGCTAAACTAGTCTTGTGTTGGGGCCAAATTCACCCTTGGTTAGCAGAACGAAGTGAATTTGCTATGAATTAGTTCGTACTGGTTTGCCACTTGTTAGGCCCTTGACGTGTTATCAATAAGTACCTTGGGAACTTATTGACTTGTTGGTTCTTGACCTTTTGGCTGTGGCTAAGTATAGGAATTGAATGCCTGAAAATTAAATGATAGGCTATATATGCATAAATTCTTGGGTGTCAGTGTATTACATGGACTAATTTCAGTTTACCTGAATTTACGGCATTTAGTGTTCAATAAAGGAAATATTTCTTTCAGTATACAGAGAGTAATAATATTGTGGTTGCTAGCACTAAGCAAATCAATTTCCTTTTACAGGCTGATTATCATAACAGCTGCTGTTTAATCACCCTGATTGTTAGGTAACTTTTCAATTGCCTCAACATTTTGGAAAAAAATAGGTAGTGCTGCCTCACAGGGATCATGGCACAGTTGTGGCTAACCTTCAACAAGGTGTGAATCGGTTTGGCGTGTATTAGTAGTAGTGATAATCCCAAACCACCAACTTCTAAAAAATTGGGTTGTACTTTGTAGCACCTCGACTTTAACTATGTTGTGTTTTGTTCTTCCCATGCTTTCAGCTTCTCATCTTGGTGAAATTAAATTAAAGAGAAAAGAGAAAAGAACCCATAAGTAAAAGTGGCACTCATTTATATGTTAGTTCTCAAATTTGTAAGGGTAGATTGACAGTGTGCACTTTGTCCCTCTATTCCAACCTCCACATACGTTCTGAAAGCATTCAGGCAACTCTTCAGCTATATTTTCACAGCATGTTCACTAATTATTGCCTGAAAAGTCTGAACTTTTCCAGACAAACAAGATTCACTTGAATATTGGTACACACAGGAAGGACAGCCTATGATCTGCCTGCAGGTGTCTTAATGGGTTTTTACTTCCTGGCTTCAGCATTTGATTTGGAAATACCCAGCCAGGAATCCTATCCATGTTCTTTGTCTTTCTCCCCTTGATCATATATGTGTCAATAGTGACCTTAAGGACTGGTTTTCCCCATAGAAGCCTGATCAAGATCAACTTCTGAGGCCTGTATGTCTGGCTTTAATGGACATTTATTCATTTATTTATTTAAAATTGTTTTTTATTAAGATTTTAAAAGAAAATTTTAGCATTATCAATGCTGATAAAAAACACAAGTTACATTTTACATTTTCTGTTACCTCCCTGCAACTTCCTGCAACTTCCCTTTCTGTTTATCACATATTCATTTCTTCTGCTTATAGTTTTATATACCTTATATACTGAAATTAAAATTATACTTCATTAATATATTCTTAACATCTTACCCTCATATTTAAATTTTCTCTTTAGGCTTGTTGATTGTAAGTGTCTTAATTAAATCCTGCAAGTGAGTTCATTTCATTACATTGCTTCTGTATATACATCATAAAAGGTTCCCAGTCTTTTTAAAAGTCATTATTGTCCTTATCTTAAAGTCTTTCAGTCAGCTTTGCCATTTTGGCATATTCCATCAACTTTTCTTGCCATTGTTCTTTTGTTGGTATTTCATCGCTTTTCCATCTTTGACCTAGTAAAATTCTAGCCGCTGTTGTTGCATACATGAATAAATTATTCATGTCTTTTGACAAATCTTGATGTAAAATATCTAATAGAAAAGCTTCTGGTCTTTTAACAAAAGTCGTCTTAAACATTCTTTTCATTACATTATAAATCATATCCCAATAGTTTTTAATTATTTTGCAATTCGACCACATGTGAAAAAAGATACCTTCCTTTTACTTACAGTTCCAACACTTATTGGAGCTTGTTCTAAACATTTTTGTCATTTTTGCCAGTGTATGCATCATTTTCATATAATTCTCTTTTAGCAATATACACTCAGTAAATTTTAAATTAATTTTCCATAACTTTTCCCAATCTTCCCTTTGTAGTCTTATGCCCTAATGGACATTCAGTTAAAAGTACTAGGTTTGGGGCTTTCTCCATGCTAGCACTGTAGTTATGGTATTCCCTCTTTGCTCACTTTTATATGGGTTTTTAAACCTTTTTATTTCAGTGAGTTGATTCTTAAAACTGTTTTAAGATTAATTTATTAATACATAAAAATAATACACATTTCATCGTATTTGATATCTGTTTGCTGCTTTGGTTACACTTGTAGAAGTGAGGTAGAACTAAATTTGTGAGTGTGTGTGTTTTGAGGCTTTCTGTACATCTTGCCAAAGAGCAGTAAACTTTTCTGTATTGTAAGGGATACATAATTGGTATATTGATTGCTGTAGAACCATCAAGTGAACTCTGGATGTTTAGAGGTGATGCAGCTGAGCATCTTTGTTATTAATTTAAATTTGTTTCTAAAAACACTCTGTATAGTGGTTCTAGGAGACATTGAATACAATCTGTTGTAACAATGTTCAGACCAAATTTGCACCCTGGGTTGCCTTGCCGCCTTGAGGGAGGGCAGGAAAAACACTTACGTTGACTGAAGGGGCGCAGTACTTTTCTGTTGCTAAGGAGGTTTGGTTCTAGTATTTGCCTGGATGGCATACCACCTGTAATAAAATTTTATTATTTTGCATGAGCAAGTGGTATGATCGTGTAGGAGATACTGGTGTAATAGGCTGTATGCCCCACTGGGCAGTGACTCTTAAGAGGGATGGACAGGCAAAGACCAAACTGGCAGGTCTGTAAAGGAATTCAGCTGAACTAGTACAAATGATGTAGAAGAAGAATGCAGGAAGATAAGTGATCCAGGAGCTACGTTTGTGGGCTGGAGTTGGTGTAATAAAAGGACAGGGCCAGGATATATAGTTCAGGCTGTAGATAACACAATCAGAATTCTGCCTCCTGTCCCCCAAAATCAGTGTGTGTGTGGGGTGATATATGTCTTTGGAACTACCTATTAATTCTTCCAAGCACTGAAAAGGAAGTTGCTATTGTGGTGAATCTTGCTCAATTTGGGACCTTTTGCTTGAAACTCATGTAAATATCGATAAAGCATGCCCTATTCTGCAGCCAAACCCCCTGCAAGACTTCTTTCCCCTGCAACACTTCCCCCCCCCCCCCCGCTCTTAAAAGCCTTGGCAAGTGTAAGCTGAAGAAGCACATTTACAAAGGAAACAATTGACTTTAGCTTCTTTTGTTGCTGAAAGTGGCCCCCAGTGAACTGACTGCAAGGACTAGATAGAGCCTAACGGAATGGAATGGCCGCCTGCTGGCTGGCTGGCTGGCTTGCTGGCTGGTGCTGCGGCAATGCACTTCCTCTTTGTGGTGCAAGAGAATTGGAACAGGCGAGACATTTATCATCTCCTTTCCCACTCTTTGCGCTTGGGGTGGGTGGGGGGAAGTTGTCAGTGAAAGAAAAAGAACTGTAATCGCACATTTACATATGCTTCTAATTGTTGATTTGGGGATTTTCTATGAATATGGCTTCGCAAAACAGATGCTGTTAGAGGGGGCAAAAAGCAGGAATGTATCTCTTATTTTTCTCTCCCTTTTTTGGGGTGGGCAATGAATTAAATGTTTTTGTGGCCCTCTCATCCGTAGCTGGGAGCGGTTTGTGGACCGCGTCTGCAAACGCGCCTCATAATTGTTTTTCACACATAAGTTATGCAAATGAGCTTTTATGGCAACTGGCATAACAATTAGCATCCTCCAGCAATATTTTAGCAGGTTAATTGCAAAATTTCTAAATTGTACATCTGACTTGTTAATTAGGCATGACAGAGGTGGTAAAACAGTTATCTTCAGGCAGTGGCAGCCAGGAGCTGCTTGAAATGCAAAGAGCAACGATTGATTGGATTTGAGGGTTAAAATTGTGGGAGCGCTGCTGTTGTCAAGTGCCGCCGAGCTGCTCTGCTCGATCCGCTTGCCTTGGAGCAAGAACGGCCTCATCACTGAGTCCCTGCCATTTGAAAATCTGCCTTATTTAACTCTCTAACTTGCTAAACCCTTTGGATGCTGAGTGCCTGCATTGCTGTCACTACTTCTGTAAGCAGAAGTAATAATTTCAATTTTTATTTACAAATGCAGCTTATACATGACTAGCTCACATGGGACAATCCAGCCACCTACAACCCCCAACCAGCGCTTTTAATTTTGACCACATATCTCATTGCAGTGCTTATTTCATTGTGTTTTTTGAATGTGAAATTAATTATAGTTTGTTAGCTTCACTTAACTCTGTTTATGTTCCTTAAAACATTTATTTTCTAAGGTCTGTGTGTGCCTCTTTATTATGTTACTGATTTAAAATACTAAACATAGACAGTGATCCCTTCTTGGTCAGTCAGAGGGGTATCGGTATGATTAAAATGTGATATTAACACAAAATTTTCATGCACAACCAAGAAAGCTTTCAAATCCTAGTTATACTCTTTTATGACACCAGTGCCTGCTATTTTCAAACAAAATGCCATTCTGCTGGCAGAATGTAGGCCATTTTTGCTCTATGAATATTTACACAATTTCCCACCACTAGAAAGACCTTCTGTATACCTTGCCATGTGACTCTGGAGTGGAAAATGCCATTGCGTTTTGATCTCTAAAATAAATCTAGTTTGGGGATGATGAGAAAGAAAATAAAGCTTGAAATAAGCCACTACCCATGGGGCAGGGGTAGAAAGAAACCTAGGTATGTCCAGGTACACAGACAGCTAACTGTTGTGTCTTGTAGTTTCAATGAAGTCGATCAAATTTTACTGCGTATACAATACCTGAGAGTGCAAAGAATATGAGTCAAATTAAGTATGTGTGAAATTTGATGTTCTCTTTTGGCTCTTCACACATGCCCTTGATTTAGCTGTATGGCAGTTAATATTGGAATGCCACCCCCTCCCCTGCTTTCTTATTTCATTTAAAAAGTAAATGTTCCTGCATGCATAACTGTTCTAATATTTTATATTTTTCTCATGACATGCTTATACGTGGTAAGTGCCATTTATGATGTGTTGTCATCAATAATTTTGTCACAGAGAATAAAAGCCTTTAAACTCATCCACCCACTGGAATGTTTTATCATATTTATTTTTAAGAGATATGAAATTAGCAGGACGATTTGAGCTCTTTGAATGTAGGAGATGCAAATGTAACTGAATATTTACCTTTAATGAAGGGCAACATAAATATCTCAGTATCAATAAATTACAGAGAGTGCTTTAGCATTCCATAGACACCTAATAAATAGTTCCTGCTGGGTTTCCCCCCCCCCCCCGCCCCACCCTGAATCTTTGAACAAGGTTATCATTCTAGCACAGGTTAATTTATAACCGGCAGTGACATTAAGGATGACTTAAATATCCTTTTTTCTTTTTCAAGAGTGTGTGGTGGTTGACAATATTCTGTCTCTACGAGAAGAGGGGTGTGTGCTTTTCCAAACTACCACATCTTCCCAATTCTTTTTTATTACACCTATTTTGTTTTCAGCCATTTAGAGAAGGTCTCTTTGAGTAAATGGTTCAGTGGATTATGTTTAGAGGGGAGTAACTATTTTAATGAGGCTCACTGGAAACTGTTTCAGCAGGCGATTACTACATGTGTATTATATAGTGGTGCTCTCTCTCTCCCCCCCCCCCCGCCCCCCGGTCACTGTACATGTCCCTGAACATAAGAGGAAATCTGCGCAGCAGTCCCCTCATATTGTTTAAGACAATAAGAAATCCTTAAGTGTGAGCCAAGAAAAAAGAATGCATTATATTTCTTTCTCTGTGGGTTCTCCCTCACCATCCAATCCTTAGCTAGCCTAGTAGTAAGTAAATATCCTCTATTGTTTAAATGTACATCACATTTTAACTGTCCTAATATTGATCATCCTATGAAGGAATTATATTGAAGGCTGGTAGTTATTAGTGTAAAGAGGGTCAGATGCAGAGACTAGTACAAAGCAAGTGCTCTCATGGTAATGATGCTGCTATTTATAGATTCCCCCATTTCATTAGTTGCAGAGTTTCAGGGAAGAGATTTTCTCATGGGGAAATGGATACTTGAAGTTCATTTTCTTCCTGATGCACATTAAGGTAGAAATGTGAACAACCTTCAGTATAGGACATGATTACTAGATTTTTTTTTTTTAGTGGGGGTATGTTACACACACATACGCATTCACCAATATGGTTGTACTTTACTAATCTAATTTGGGTGATGCAAACTGAAATTGGTGCATCTGTGAAGCGCAGTTCACTTATTTGTAAATACATTTTTAAAATATAACTTTAAAAATTTTAAATACAGCGTGCATTATTTAAACTGCTGACCAGTATTCATATTTAATAGTTAAATTCTGCTAAGCTGCAATTTTTTAAAATTGTGCAGTGTGTATTCAGGCTGACATGTGTACACACAGGGCCCATATGCATATACTCACACATACATTCACCTAACAGTCTTTGTTTCCTAGCAGTGTACTCATTTATTGAAATGTACATATCTAAAACTTCAGTCTGTCTTGACATTCAGGTGAGGGTAGGCAATTTTTATTTTTATTTTTAATGTGTTTGCCCATTGCTTTCCTTCTTAAATTCTTGACACCTTGAGTTATATTTTTCCTCCTTTAAGAGAATATTTACTTAGTTAGTATTCACTTAATTAGAACTGACTGTTTAATGTTTTCTGGGAGGGTATTTATGGCATTTTCTTTGCCATATTTGCATTCCAGAAATTAAGTCTCCACGCCATTATTCGGCAAGCCTTTCATACATTAGAATGATGAATTGAAAGCAGAAATGGGGAAAAGACTGCAATGCAATGAAAATTTAATCAGCGTCTTCTGCTGCTTTAATAAGGCAAATAATTCTTATTGGCCGCTGTGTTAAGGTTTCTAATATTTAATTCATAACAAACCTTGCATTATTCTGCAGCGGCATCGACAGCTCCACTTTGCTGCCTGCCAAAAGGCAACCATAAAAACTTAAAAGCAGATGTAAGCGTCTGAAACAAGGAGAATGATTAGATCTAAAGTGGTCTGGAAAAAAGGGGAAATCAACAGCCTTGCTAGAGAGTTTGATGAATCTTTACACACTGTTTAGTAATGCGTAAACAATATTAAACTCATTAAAAGAGTGGATTTGGGGTAGGCATTGATAGCCCTTGTGAATTTTGTTGTGGTGCGCCCTGTGTGACTCCCTACCCTCTGAAAGGGATATCTGAGGAAGAAGTACAAATTCCCATAGATCAGCTATTGCTAGTTGTAAGAATTATTGTTAATTTTTATGTTTAACATATCAAACATACTTCTTTTTCATGTTAAAACTTGAATACCACCGCCTGAATTTAATCTTGCTCTGCTACAGAGCATGGACTGCTGTGATGTCATCTCTCTCTTACTCTGTCTCTGTCATGATTTTATGTTAACTTTTTTGTATATGGGTATAAAAATACAGCATACCGATTTTGAATAATAAACCATGCAGATGGGTTCTCTTGTGTTCAAAATGTGATTGCAGAATCTTCTCTTCTTCCTGCCTGCTCCCCCACCTCTTCCCCATCCTCAAATTACCGTCTTGAATCTCCAGAAATTAGCTAAGATTAAATGTGTAAACATACTCTGTAATTCCGAAAGGCTGTGGCAGTGAGCGTCTTTGAGTGCCAGGCTCTGGAAAATGGCAACCTGCCAATGGTAGGTGCGAGCTCTTGTTATATGGAAGGGTTTGCGCGCCTATTCCCATTTCTTCACGAAACGGCTTAATTGGTGTCAGCACCCCAGGGATAAAGGCCTCTAACACTGAAATCCACACGAATCACCCTGTCTCTGCTCAGTGTAGGGAAACTGGTAACAACTGGTGGTGAATGAGGAGTGAACGGCACTGCAACAATACTCAATGATGTTTGGGATGACAGAAATTAATACGCACTTGCTTGAAGAAAGCCATGATTAATGGCAGTGAGCGAGGGAATGCTGTCCCTCCTTTTAACTCCACTTTGATGGGGATTGAAAAGCAAAAGGCTGTTTTTATTCTATTTCAAAAGCAGAGTTCATCCAGAGTACATTATAACTATTTCCCCCCTCTGTTTTTTAATTTCATAAATATTATGGGAAGCGTAGATTAGATTAGATTGGATTAGGGCTCCCCCACCCTCAAATTGTGAAAGTTTAAAATATATTACTTCTGCTTGTCCTTTTGCTGTTAACAGAGAAATTCTATGCTGGCTTGTTTTGTGGTTCATGCCATCTTACCTGTAATTATAATTAGTATAATTCACAACTTTTCATTTTAAAAGTCTGCTTTGTAGTCCATCTTTCTTTGTCCAACATTTGATAAAGAAGCTTTCTCCTGCAAGAAAATCTGAAACCACATAACTCAGTTTTTGATACTGAATTCTTCATTTTAAGGAACGTTAAAAACCAAGTACAATGTTGGCATTCTCCTCCACCTCCACCCCCCTTTCTGTTGAGCGAGAACACTGATAGATCTTTAGGATCCAACAGGAAGACATAAATTAATGGAGTTCTGGAGACCAGGTTATCATTAATAATCCATTTTGTCTTGGTTCTTGGCATTGTCAGACTCATTATTTTGTGTTTTGTATAGGGATAAAAGCAGAGGACGTCTTAAGGCACAGCAGCCAGTGATGGTACAGTGGTTAGAGTGTTGGATTAGGACCTGAGAGATGTGGGTTCAATTCCCCTCTTAACAGGAAGCTCACTGGGTGACCTTGGGCCTGTAACTACCTCTCAGACTAACCTACCTCACAGGGTTGTAGTGAGTTTTAAATGAGTTGTGGAAGAACTATGTAAGCCACCTTGAGCTCCATGGACAAAAATGGTGAGATATAAATGCAATAAATAAATAAATAAATAAATAAATAAATAAAACATTTCCCTGGGTAAACCAGGGATTTAAAAACGGATCTTGTTTCCTGGAGCGAAACAAGTATGTGTATGCATTCAGTTAAAATACAGAAATCTATTTTAATAGCAGAACTGTACATTTAGTAAATAAGGCATTAGTTAGAAGCTATCTCTTTCAATCACTACTGTCCTGTCTAGATAGGAGGGTCACTTTAGGAATGTAGGAAGTTGCCCTATTCTGAATCAGACCACTGGTCCAACTAGCTCAGTATTGTCTATGCTGACTGCAGTTACTCTCCAGGGGTTCATTCAGATGGGGAACGTTCCCAGTCCTGTCTGGAGCTTCTGGGGTTTGAACATGGGATTTTCTTTATGTAAAGACTACCACTTAGCTTTGACCCTTCAACTGACTATAGTCCTTTCTAGCACTAGCATGGCACAGGAATGCTTTGTGCTCTACTCTAGAACAAAACATTGTATTTTGGAACCAAATTATTACTTTAGGTATACAAGGATTTCAGTATGCCCGGTGGAACTTTTGAACTGTTTCTTTTTGCACTGCAGATTTTCATGACGTATGCTGCATGAGTGGCTGCCGTTTAAGGAAACACAAGTCACAAGCCCCTTTGGGAGCATGGAACTACTTGAATGGTTCTTTTGATCATGGCTTCTTTTATGGTCATTGGTTTCACATCTGCCTGGTTCCTTGTAACCTCACTTCTTGTAGTGAGGGAATCACTAGAAGGCCCTCAGAGCTAGATCTCAGTGTCTGGGCTGACAGATAGGGTGGAGACACTCCTCCAGGTATACAGGACTGGGGCCATTTAGGGCTTTGAAGGTCAGCACTAACACTTTGAATTGTGTTTGGAAACACTGAGAGTCATTGTAGGTCTTTCAGGAACAGTGTTATATGGTCCTGGTGGCCATTCCTGTCACCAATCCAGCTGCTTCATTCTGTACTAGTTGTAGTTTCTGAGTCACCTTCAAAGGTAGCCCCACGTACAGCATGTTGCCGTAGTCCAAACAGGAGATAACCAGGGCATGTACCACTCTGGCGAGACAGTGCGTATGCAGGGTCTCAGCTGGTGTTCCAGATGGAGCTGGTAGGCAGCTGCCCTGGACACAGAATTAACCTGTGTCTCCATGGACAGCTGTGAGTCCAAAATGACTCCCAGGCTGTGCACCTGGTCCTTCAGGGGCACAGTTACTCCTTTCAGGACCAGGGGGTCCTCCACACCCATCCTCCCCCTGTCCCCCAGAAACAGTACTTATGTCTTGTCAGGATTCAACCTCAATCTGTTGGCCACCATCCTACAACCTCATCCAGACACTCACACAGGACACTGACCATCTTCACTGGTTCCAATTTAAATTAGCTGGGTATAATCCGCATACTGCTGAACATCCAGCCCAAACCCCCTGATGATCTTAAAAAGCATGGGGGAAGGGCCGGAGCCCCGATTTACCCCAAAAGTGAGTGTCTAGGAGTCCAAACACTCACCTGCAACACCACTTTCTGGACAAAGCCCAGGAAGAAGGCGTGGAACCATTGCATAACAGTTTCCCCAGCTCTAAACCCCCCAAGACAGTCCAGGTCAATGATATAAAAAGCCGCTGAGAGATCCAGCATAACTAGGAAACAGCTTTCACCTCTGTCTCTAGCCCATCAGATATCATTGACCAGCCTGACCAAGATAATTTCAGTCCCATGATGGGGCTTGAATTCTGATTGGAAGGGACCCAAATGGTCCACATCCTCCAGATATCTGGAATTGTTCAGCAACGACCTGCTCAGTTACCTTGCCTAAGAATGGAAGATTTGAGACTCAAATTATTTGCCATATTGGCTGGCTCCAAAGATGGTTTTTTAAGAAGCAGTTTAATAACTGCTTTTTTAAAGGGTCCAGGAAGATTCCCTCACAGAGGGAAGCATTCACTACCCCACAAAACCCATTGTCCAGCCCTTCCTGGCTCAGTTTTATGAGCCAGCATAGGCAAGGATCAAGGAGATAGGTGACAGGTTTCACTCATCCAAGCAGTCTGTTCACATCATCAGAAGTACCAGGGGATAGATGCACCAACCGTACTGTCTCTAAAACTTGGTTTCTCCTACAACAAAATGCTATAATTCTCCTCTTAGGCCTTTCTGCTTTTGAGATGGTTGAAGAGTGTGAGTCACAGCTTATTTCTTTCACTTGCAAATAGGTTTTGCTTTGAAACAAATCTCAGTTTAGACTGATCTCTTGTGCTGTAGACTGAGTGGTTACAATGCATATGATTTGATTTAGGTACTTGGTTTGGCATATGACTTGGCTTATTTTCCCTAAGGACAAGAAATCACAAGTGATGGTTCTTGGCCTATCTCCTGGTCTTGTATGCAAGCCTTTGACCCTGTTCAGACAATCCTGATTTGAAGGATTATGAATGAATCACAGAGGGCTTTAAGATTAAATCCTCCCTCATCCTTTCACCCTCCTATTGTGCACAATGGGTGATTTGTTACTTCAAGTGTATCATTTGAGTTGCACAGAACTCTTCTATCAGGCAAAAACAGAAAGGTTGCTGATTCTCAACTGCTGAAGAGAGGAAGGCTACTTAGGTTGTGATCTAGTAGAAAAAGTATTTGGCAATGCAATCACCTGGTAGCCACTGCTAGTAGCTATTTGGTTACAAGTTTGCAGTCACTAAGGCAGAGCTTTCCAAACTTTTCATGTTGGTGACACACTTTTTAGACATACAGTACATCATTTTGCAACACAGTAATTCAGTTTTACTAGCAAACCAGCGGTTTCCAGCCCCATGAGGAGCATGGGGAGCGTTCACGCGACACACCTGCACACTGCAGCCGACACACTAATGTGTCGCGACACACAGTTTGGAAAGCTCTGCACTAAGGTTTTATAGCATTCTGTAATGCTTGTGGAATGCTATAAATGATTTGTGTCTACACCTAATCATAATGTTTTGTAGTTCAGTCTCATTAGACACTATCATTGGAGGGAAAGTGGCTGAAAACTCTTCAAATTTTGAGATACTATTGCCAGATAAAGAGTACTCTATAGTTTTAAAACTTGAATACTCCATCCTTCTAGGGAATTATGATACTTTTAGTTCTCTCTCTCTCTCTCTCTCTCTCTCTCTCTCTGTGTGTGTGTGTGTTTGTGTAATTTTGCATCCCTTGTAGAGGGGCTGTATTAAGGGCCCTGCCTTGGTTCCTTGCCAAGTATACTGTACAGAAACACACCATTTCATGCTGATGTTCACATAACCTTCACAAGGATTAGTATTTTCTCAACAAAATGAACAAAGCGAGCAACAAACCTTTTGTTGTGTCCTTTTTCCTCTATACTTCCTTATCTACACTTTTTAGGGATGCCATTTGTCCTTACTACTGGATGAGAGGAAGTTACTTGGCTTTGCACTTGTGGGTAGTAGAGGTGGTAGAAGCCTGTTTTATGAATATAGGACATAGGGGACAAAGGAGTTCACATAGTCCTTCTATATTTTTTACCTGAAAGAAGATTTAAGACATTCTTTTCTATATTGAGTTACAAAGGATCTTTGTCTCAGTACATTGTAGCAAAATTTTAAAGAGCAGGTTTTGACAGGAAATGTTTTGCTGACACAGAATATTTTGTTAACTTCTGACTCTCAAATAAGTACTACTTCTGTCATAATGATTGATTTATATTCATTTTAGACTGTACCTTTCACATCTTTCTCTATTTCCTACCCCCTCCCTGAGTATTCCTCATTATTTGTACCTATGCTACTGGAGAATATTGCAGTTTCCAAATTGTTCCAAATTGTTAGCAAGAGGTAGCAAGCAATTACACACACACACACACACACACACACACGCACACACGTGTGTGTGTGTGTGTGTGTGTGTGTGTGTATCTCTCTCTCTCTCTCTGTGTGTGTGTGTATGTGTATATATGTATGTATGTATGTATGTGTAAAATAGAATGTTTATTACTGGCCATACAGTTTTTGGTACTACAGTGCGGAATGAATAAAAACCACAGGTACAATCATCTTATATCCTAAGAAGACAAAAGGAAGTAATACTGTTACACTAAGGCTAAATAAATAGTGTTTCCTTAAACAGTTTTCAAAGGGTGAAGGTGGCCTCTCAAAAGAGAGCCATAAGTGCTTCCCCATAGTGCAGTTCTTTGTGTATCTTGAATGGGCCAGAAAAGAAAAATATGCTTCTCTTTTTGTGTGTGGCAGCAGTTGAAAATGTGGCCAACTTCTTGTGGGCCTTTAAAGAACTGATACTGTAATTGAGACAGGACTTAGTGTGTCTTTTGAAAAAAATATAGTACTGGCTACATCAAAATTCAACAAGATGCCATAAGTGTGTCCCTCTTCTCTGTCACCATTCTGTAAATGGACCACTTTACTTGTTCACTTCCACTAAGCCTAATCTCCACAGCTGTTCAGAAGTAGAGGGCTAGGGGAGTAGAGATTGTTTCTGCAGCTGCTCCTTGCTCCTGACATTGCTTGCTCACTTGAAGAGCTGGTGAACAAGGACTTGCTGAGTTCACACACACCACAAACCAGGATTCATAAGGCAACAACTCCCGCCTTGCCCACCTTTTAGCTTTGGTAAACCTGCTCAGTGGCAAAGTGTGCCCTGCTGGCACCCAGGGTGGACATTCACCATGCTTTGGGGGCGGGGCATGTTGCTGGCGCAACTGCGTCCTTCTCAGGCACCCTTTAGCTGGAGGGTGGCTGAGGGGAATGCAGTGTGTGTGTGTGTGTGCTGAACCCGTGCTGCTTTTGTGGGTAGCGCTGGGCCCACAGGGTGCCTGGCCTGCTGCATCTGTCTCGGACACCCTCCAACTGGAGGGCAGCTGGGAGGGCTGTGGTGGCTCAGGTGCCCTGCAATCCAAGTGCCATTTGTGGAGGCAGTGCATCCTGCTGCATTCTTCTTGACTGCCAGAGGGCAGCTGGGAGGGGATGCAGCAGCTCAGGCACCCTGTGAATCCAGCCCTGTACTGCTTTTGTGAACGGTGCTAGGCTCTCGGAACACCTGGGCTACTGCATTCTTCTCCAACTGGAGGATGGCTGAGAAGGATGCAGTGGCTCATGATGCCCTGTGCCCCCCCCAAAAAAAATGTTCCCAGGGTGATGCCCCCCCTCTATGCCTCTGGACCTGCTAGCACAAGAATTAAATAATCATTTATACCCCAAGTTTATTATCTTGGTCCTATCCTCCGGAACTGGTGGCTCAATCATATGTGGGTTGGTGGACCCTCTATAGCTAATTAGCACATTTCGGCCTGTTTGGTTTTGGCACTTCTTTTCCTGCCTGGTTTTCCTCTGCCTGCCTCTGCTTCCTCAGTTGTCTTCCTATTGAATTTTTGATTGTATGTTCCTCAGGGCTATAGCATCATCATACTGATGGATGTCATTCTATAAATTATAAAATACCATTGCATTGGCCCAAAGGGCTGCAGCTGAGGAAGACTTGAAACACTACCTGGTCCTTTTGAAATGGGCATTGTGCTCAGTGTTGCTCTTTGTATGTTTGTACTCCCAGCCCTGCTTTTGCTGCGTCCACATCAGACTTTGGAAATGCCTTGAATGTTTCAGTTGTGCTCTCCAGAGTTGTAGTGCTACAACATCAGCATAGCCAACTTGCTTGGGAAATTAGAGAGGTGAAATGCAGAAGCAGAGTAGAAAGAGAACCAGAAGCAGGAGAGGTTTGGAAAGAGGAGCAAAAGGCTGTGTGTTCCTTTAGGTAGCTAAGCTGTATACAAAGGTGGAAGGAGCTAGGGAGGAGAGCCAAGATTGGAGCAATCCATGCTAGGAGAGATTCTACAATGCCTGAATGTTGAAGGAAGAAGCTTAGATGAGAACTCTTACCACTTCTATCCTAGAGATAAGTCTACTTGGATTCTACGTTCTAGAATAAAGGAAGAACAATGATCTTGAGTACCACTCTCTATAATACTTTTTTAGAAGAGCTCAAACATTTCCCCTTCCAATGAGAATATCTCCTAATAACTTTTATTTATCTGCTAATTGTAGACATATGATATAAATGATAGCAACCATGAGACAATTTTAGCCTGAATATTCAGATGGTATTTTGCTATTAAAACCTAGCACAGTGTTTAAAGATAGATATAGGATATCTTATTTATGCCATTATCAGGACCAGCTCAAACATGAGTCAAATTGAGGTGATTGTCTCAGGCAGGGGTTAGTAAAATCCCCGCTGCTTGTCTGCCTGTCTTGCTGGCCTGGGCCTGCAGAAGCATCCATTTGCTTGCCCCATTGTTTTCCATTGAGATCATTTAGGTGGGAGAGAATGTCATACTCAGATTCCCCTGACTCTCTCTCTCTCTCTCTCTCTCTCTCTCTCTCTCTCTCTCTCTCATACACACACACACACACACACACACACACGGGGAGAGAGAAGTTTTAATTAGCTAATCAGTTAAATGCACAAATTTGAGAAAATGCAACAAAAATACTTATCACAGAATAAAGCAACAAACATAATACATGCATGAATACACATATTTATTTAGGATTTATAAGAATCTATTTTTAAAAACCTTCTGATTTAAGGAAAATGTTTAATTACTTAAGCTTATTGACAGGAAAATGCAAGTCCTGTGGATGTTTACTCCGGAGTAGGCCATGATGCATTAGCATTGCAGCCTAAACATTATAGCCCTAATAAAAACAGTATTTGGGAACCAAAAAGCTAAAGACTGAGTTATGACAGATGCCATGGGGGGGGGGGCCCTTCTGATACTGCAGATTTCGATGTATTTGATATTGTTAGGAGCTTCTACTGGCTAAAAAGCAAGGTGTGTGCATGGGAGGGGGCGATGAAATATGGGCAGACAAGAGGATTCTCTTCTTAAAATCTTTCACAGTTGTGCCAAGAAAAGCAGCTCCGATGGAACGTTTTCATAAACTATCATCAGTTATGCCGCAGCAGCTTCACAAATCAGAAATGATATCTTCAGGCACTGCTGTCAAGTGTTATTCAAATAATACCAGCCTCACATTTGAATAACAGCAGACATTTTGAATTAATTAATCAGATGAGATAGTTGAGGCCCTTTCTCATTAGTCTCTGGGTCAGGCATGGGAAGATATATGTGTCGGTGATGATACACTTGTCTTTAATCGTGATTTATGAAGATTTAGGATTGTGTGTGATTTGTCAAAAGGGTTCTGGGGGAAAAGGCTGGTGCATATTTCATTACCTAATCTGAGATTGATTTCATGATGCCGAGAGATACAACCCTATTGTTAGGCTACATGGGAAAGCACAGGAAGAGGCAAGGCATCCTGGGATTTTTTTTTACTAGCTTATCTTTGACTGTCAAGCCAGGCTGTAAACTTTTACTGCCAGCACTTAACAATTCGTTCTTTAATTATAGGCAAATTCTTCATGTGGAGGTGGGGGTGGGGAGATAGAAGAGAGGAGAGTCATTCTCAACAGTTATTTAGTTAGAAAGCATAGCAGTCCTCATAGCTATGACCCAGTGTAAATCATGGACAAAAGGTTGGCAAATTTCAATGCTTGATCGTGGTAAAAAAATTCAAATTTCATGGTTTGCTATTAATAGGAAAAACAACCACTTAATACATAATAAGCAAGGTGGAGCAACTTATGCAGTGATGTCCCCTTCCAAGAATTTATCGTTGGCTGAAATTCTGAGTTGGTAGAGAACGTATAACTCATGTTTCTGGGACAACATCATTTGCAAATCTGGCTGAAGTAGTTCATGAAGTTTAGGTCAAGTGATATAGCACCACTTAAAAGAGACTAAACCTCTGTGTACTGACAACGTATAGTCTAAACTACTGAGCTTCTTGGGCTTGTCGATTGGAAGGTTGGCTTTTGGAATCTGAGTGATGGTGGTGAGCTCCTGTTGCTCTGTCCCAGCTTCTGCAGTTTGAAAGCACACCAGTGCAAGTAGATAAATAGGTACCACTGTGGTGGGGAGGTAAACGGTGTTTCTGTGCGCTCTGGTTTCCATCACAGTTTCCATCACTAAACCGGCAGCGGTTTAGTCATGCTGGCTACATGACCCAGAAAGCTGACGCCCTCAGCCTGAAAAGCGAGATGAGCGCCACACCCCATCATTGCCATTGACTGAACTTAACCATCCAGGGGTCCTTTACCATTTACCTTTTTGTTACTCACAAATTGTGACCTTGTGCCCATGCCCAAGGAGCCTGCATATCTCAAGGAACTGGTTTTCATGCCAGGGAGCCTGCATTCATGTGTCATCTTGGCAACACACCTATGGCTACTTGTCTGAAGGGAGAAATGCTAGACCCCAGAGGTTAGAGGCCTGTCCTTTTAAGCTTTCTATTATTGAAGCAAGGAGACAGAAGCTCATAAGACTTCTTGGCCTCTGTTGGCTCAAGTTTCACTAGGAGCTATCCATAGTGCTGAAGCCACCCATCGGCCATGCTATCACCCTAATAATGTATCCAGCTGGCTCCTTTTCAATGCAATGCAGTGGAACCTCGAGTTGCGGATGTAATCCATCCCAGAGGCAAGTCTGCAACTCGAAGTGTTCGCATCCAGAAGCGCTGCGCCTATGCACGCGCATGACACGATTTAGCACTTCTGCACACACGGGAAGTGAGATTTAGCACTTCTGTGCATGTGCAAGTGGCAAAACCTGGAAGTAACCATTCCGGTACTTCCTGGTTGCCACGGGACGCACCTTGAAGAGACGTAACCTGAAGCGGACACAACATGAGGTATGATTGTATCTGCTCTTTTAATTTGCAGTACAAATTAAATAATAGCACCTTTTCAGATGCCCACATTGGACATCTTGCTCTGGCCCACCAATGTGGAATGGACGTTGTTTCAGCTTGGTTGGCTGTGCGGGCATTTGAAAATGATG